TCTCTCTCTCTCTCTCTCTCTCTCTCTCTCTCTCTCTCTCTCTCTCTCGTCCTTGCATGTGTTTCTCTCAGTTTTGTTTCTCTGTATTCACCAGTGGCTTTCGCTGGAGTGGGACCCTCCCCCACCCAACTTAAGACCTGTGCCCAATCCCACTGGGGACCCAAATCCTTTTGACTCTGCCAGATCATCCAGAGAAATCCAAAACCCTCCGTCCGTCCCACCCTGGGAGCAGGAGCTCTTGCTCCTTGAGTTGCTTGGCTCCTGCCCACAGTCAGGCTTGGTCCCTGTGAGGAGGTGGGAAGGGGCTTGGCCTCTCACCCTCAATCCCCTCCCATCTGAGATGAGTGCACACTGGAGGGGGAAAGAGTTCCCTGGGGGAGCGTTCCCTCCATCCCTGCCTGCTCTCTGCAGCCCCAGAGAAGGCAGAAAGCTCTCCAGGGCTCAGCCCCAAGGAAAAGGGAAAGCTCTGCTGCTCTCTCTTGCATGTTTATGTCTGTTTGTGAACCAATGATCTGTATAATTGGAAAACTCAAAACCCACCATTCTCTGAAAAAGTAAAAACAAAACAACCACCACCAACAACAAAACTGGCCCTGGGCTGGACGGGTGGGCAGGGGTATTGCTGCCAGACAGTACAACCCGGCCAGAAAAGATTTCCCCTTCTGTTTAACACTGACTGAGGAGACTTTAAGCAATATCCACTAGGTCCTTCTTAAACCATTAAAGACAGCTGCTAAAGAGTTGGCCTTTGTCACCCACTTGGTTCCAGATATTAGAAAAAAGTTATGAAAGTTAAAAACATGTTTTAAGGTATAAGTAGTTCCTAGTAGCTCGAAGGGGGATTAACAACAGGGAACTGATTAGGACAAGACCTTTGTATAAACTGAAAGCCACCATCACCTTCTCTGATGATGACACACAGTTAGTTAGACTCATGTTGACCGAGGTTTCTGTCCCACCAGGTCCCACAACTGTTTAGTTCCAAATAAACACACAGAGGTCTACATTAATTATAACCTGATTGGCCTATTAGCTCAGGCTTCATATTAACTCATAACATGTATTAGCCCATAATACTTGTCTGTGTTAGCCGTGTGGCCTGGTACCTTTTTTTGGCGAGGCAATCACATCTTGCTTGCTCTGTCTCTGGCTTCCTCTGTGTCTCGGTGACAACTGCTCTTCCCCGAATTCTCCTGTCCGGTTGCCCCGCCTCTACTTCCTTTCTGGTGGCCATAGCCCCACCTATACTTCCTGCCTGGCTACTGGCCAATCAGCATTTTATTAAAAATAATACAAGTGACCAGATAAAAGACCATTGTCCCACAGCAGACTCACAGACACCACCGTCACCATCACCTCTGCTGAGACACAGACTCACAAACACCACTGTCACCTTCTCTGCTGATGAGACACAGTTAGACTCACAGACACACCTAGAAAGTGTAGGTGTCTCCTTTTCCAGCAGAAGAAGATCTCTGAGCTGTAAGTTCTTTCTCCAATTAAAGGATACAGTTGAACTATCTCTCAGATTGACAACAAAGATCCCCAGGGGTGTGGACAGAAACCAACCCTCCAGGACTGGCCCAACACCAAACTCCTAAAATTGTTCAACTAACCAGGTCCGCTACCTCTGTCCAGATTAAACAGTAGCCAATGACCCTGGAAACAAAGGGGAAATTGCAGTCCATATTTCCTGGCTCAGAGAGATGAGCATCCTGGGCCCTGCCAGTCACCCCGGAATACAGTTGTCCTGCTTATGAAGAAACTTGGGACCTCTGATTCTCATGAGGCTGGTTCTTTTTTTTTTTTTTAATGTATACATTATTCTGTCTGCGTGTGTGCCTGAAGGCCAGAAGAGGGCACCAGACCTCATTTACAGATGGTTGTGAGCCACCATGTGGTTGCTGGGAATTGAACTCAGGACCTTTGGAAGAGCAGGCAATGCTCTTAACCGTTGAGCCATCTCTCCAGCCCCATGAGGCTGGTTCTTCTAGAGAAGCAGGTGTACACTGTCTTGGACCTGAAGGATGCATTCTTCAGCCTCCCATTGGCAAAGGTGAGTCAACCCATCTTTGCTTTCAAATGGACAGACCCCGAGGGAGGTCAACACATCTGGTCCAGCCTGCCCCAGGATTTAAGGAAACTAGATGCAGACCTCCTGTTAGAGGTTTCCTGGGCAAACAGATTATAAAAGAGCCACTGCGGGACTGTTACAAGAGTTGCAGACCTTGAGCTACATAATATTAGCTAAGAAAGCCCAATTTTGCACATCAGAGACAAAAGGAGCCTGTCTCAGAGTAGGATTGCTGCCATCCTTCAGATCCCAACTACTAAGACTAAGAGACACGCTCAAAGCTGAGCAGTGGTGGTGCATACCCTTGATCCCAGCACTCAGGAGGCAGAGAGCGGCAAATCTCTGAGTTCGAGGCCAGCCTGGTCTACAGAGTGAGTTCCAGGACAGTCAAGGCTACACAGAGAAATTCTGCCTCAAAAACAAAACAACAAAAAACAAACAATCAAACGAAAACAAGACAGGTTCAAAAGTTCCTAAGTACATCTGGACATTGCTGTCTCTGGATACCGGAGTTTGCGGAAATAGCAAGGCCTCCATGCACCAGCACAAAGAGGGGCCCTGAGCCCGTGTCTTGGACTGAGACCAAACAAAAGGTGTTTGAGGCTTTAAAAGCAGCTCCGACCTCAGTTCCAGCCCTAGCACTTCCAGATGTCTCGAAACCTTTTCATCTGTCCATGATCCAAAGACTAAATGGGGCTTTAATCCAAGCTTTAACCCCCAGAGCCATGGAAACGCCCCGTGACATACGTGTCCGAATGACTGGACCCTGTCGTTACAGATGGCCCACCTGTCCAAGAGCTGTGGCCGCTACTGCCAGCTTGACTAAAGAAAGAGAACAAGTTAACTCCGGGCCAGGATCTTGTACTCACAGCACCCAGGACACGGCGGAAGCCCTCGGAGGAAGCGCACCAGATCCTTGGCTGTTTAATGTGCCACCCAATACCAGGCCCGACTCCTGGCCTACCCTGGAGTCAGGTTGGAGGACCCCACCACCATCACCTTGGCTACCCTCTAAGCTGATGATACAGGTGCTCATCCATGACTGTCACAAGATGAAAGATGAGACCAGGTGGGTACTTAGGAGGAGCTGTAGGAGTTACTTTGGCTGCACTGGTTTGGGTCTACACCAGGGACCTCAGCCCAGAGAGAAGTGATTGATCTGACCCAGGCTCTCAGATGGGGAAAAAGGAAAGTCCACCACCACATACACGAACTATCAGCCGGTGTGTTCTTACTGCCGGATATGTCCACGGTGTGATCTTTAAAGAATGAGGCCTTCTCACCGAAGGGAAAGAAGACATTAAAAAACCTTGGCCCTCCTAGATGCTATTTGGCTTCCCCTCCAAATTGTTGTCCCCCGCTACAGAGCCTAAAACCAGTGGAGTCTATTGGTGCCCTGATGACATACCACAGCCCAGTTCTGCCTGAGACTCTGGATAAAGAAAAATGGACAGCTCAAACCCACAGGTCAGTGGAGGACACCACAGGGGAAGACGGTTCTCCCAGAAACAACCTGTAGGACTCTGGGAACTGACCTTCACCAGGCTATTCATCTGGGGTCCACAAAACTTTCTGAGTTGCTCAGACCAAGGGATGTTCTATTTAGACTGGACAGCCTAGTGCAGGATGTCTCAGCCAGATGTCAGGTTTGTGTTCGAGAAAATCCAGAATAGAGAGCCCTTCCCAAGGATCTGAGTAAAAGATCAGCACCCTGGAGAACTCTGGGAAAATGGACTTCACCAAGATGCGGTCTGTCAGGAGACAGTATAGGCACTCACACATAGATACATTCACTTTCCAGACCAAAACTTCAAATAGTAACTAAAAAGTTCCTTTAGAAACTGGTCTGTTATTTGCTCCCCCCGCCTTACCCCCAGCAATGGGATCTGGCAATGCCTGGCTTTCATACCCAAAAAAACCTCTCAATAGCTAAAACTTTAAACATAGATTTTAAAAAACTTTATTGTGCATACAGACCTCAGAGTTTCTGGCAGGTAAAAAGAATAAACAGAACCTAAGAGAAACTAACTGAAGAGTCCAGGAATGGAATGTAGAAATAAAGGGTTTGGTCCAGGAATATAAAAATATAAAGCTGTAAGCCCAAGCACATTTTTGGGAGAAAATAAATACATAAAGCTGGCCGCCACCGTTAACCTTTAACGAACACTTTCTGCCTTAAGAGCAGACATCTTGGCAGCCCTGTGTACAGAGGTAAACTTTGAACAATTGTCTCTGTCTCCCAGCTTCCCTGCTAGGCAGGTACCGGGGACAAAGGTCAGCTTCTAACTGTTGCCTCGATGGGACCCTCTGCTTGTATTCCCTTAACTTCTAACTGCCCCCCTACGTGACTCTCCTCTCTGCCTCCCATTCTTTCGGGGACAGCGAAAAGCGACTTGTGCCAGCCACAGGCTTCCGCAAACACCCTGAGTTAACATCCTACCGTCCTACGACCAGAAGTTGTAAAACCTAAAATGCAGTGTGACTTAAGCCTGGTCTCAAGGCTGTAAAGCCCTTTGACCCACACCTGTGCTTGATTTTACTGCAAGAGGAGGCTCAGAACCAGCCCCCACGGCCACAGCTGCAGAAGCCCAACCTCTGACTGTGCTCACAGCTAGAGCTGAGAAGCTTTGTGTGCCTTGTGGTGATTTTTTTTTTCTTTTTCTGGAATAAAGCTTGCTCCTTGTTTAATAGACTTTGGTGGTCTGTCCCACCATCATTGCGTGATCCCGGACCCAACATAACAAAACTCTCACTATAGTCCAGCATAGGGTGGACAGGCCTCCTTCCTTTGCTTCAGCCCACTGCACCCCACG